GGAGAAGTAAAGTTATTTATATAAAAAGCGAAAGGATCCATCTCAGGTAAATAATTTAACAAAATTTATTAATTTCGGTACAATAAAAGTTATATTTTAATTGTATACAATAAAATTTTCATTTTTTTTTTGTTAATGATAAAGTAACTACGTTTTTATAAATGCATTGAATATCATTGCTACATATTAAATGCATGGAACACTGTCAAGATGGTTGCATGCGAATGATTTTGGCATAGGCCTATCACCTTGAAGTGCGTGTGCGTACACACTATATACAGTAACTGCGCTTTTTAATTAGTCATTTACTTTTATCGATTTTCAATTGATGAGGGAAGGGGGGATTATGTCATTATCAGATTGTCGCTCAAGAGAGTAAATTTTTTTGGTAAAAATATAACCTGGTGTGTGATTGTTAATAGTTTTGTGCAACTTGTTAATTGTGCATTTGAAGGTTATGATAGGGCCTTGACATGCGCGCGTTTTTCATTTTGGGGTGGGGGGAGTTGCAGATTCTCTTTTCCCCTCAGCTGTTTACATGAAAAAAAAAAAAAACTTCAATACCTCTCTATATTTAATATTAAAAAATTTACTTGTTTAATTGTCTTACATCAAAATACACATAGCACCATCACTTTTTTAATTTTAATTTTTAAAATGTAGATTTTTATTGTGAAAATGTTGGTTAAAATAATAGTTGTGCTATTGTAGTTTTCGCTATTACAGTTAAAAGGTTTTTTGTTGATTTATAATTTTTTTTGCATTTTTATTTCAATTATTGATAGTTTTTTTTATTAATCAAAGTCAAATCATGAAATGATATTTTTTTTTTAAATTTAAGTAAATATAAAAGTTATGCAAGCAGGTTTTGAAAGTGTCGATTTTAAATTTCAAAATATGGGCTATTATATTAATAAATTGTTTGCTATTCATATTTTTCTGGTTCTTAGCATTGAAACAGTTTTTTTAAATACAATATTTATTAAATATCACAATCGATTTTACTACTTTTAATTTCTTTATAGTAATAATATCGAACATGATGAATCTCGATTATAAAACAGATTAAGAGTTGAAATAGAAAAGTTTAGGGCTTTGTAGCAATTCGAAAACTACCTCTTAAGTTTTAAGTTTAATTATTTTTGCAAAATCCAATGTTAAAAAAATAAAGTACTTAAAAATTGTGTGCAGTAGTTGAATTTATTTATGTATAATTAAAAAATAATTCCTGCATCGACTGAAAAACAATAATATATGTTAAATTTTTAAATAACGATTCTTCTTTGATTTCTACTTATTTTACTTAAAAAGAAATTCAATACATTAATTTTGCATTATAAAAAATGTTTTGTACAACATTGAAGCATTCTAGGTTTTGAGATCTATGAATTAGTTTTATTTTAAATTTTTTTTTGTGCTTATAAACGATAAAACAATATATATATATATATGGGATGATATTCTTTTTAATATAAATTATAATTTATATGAATTGTGGGTTGAAAAGGCCAAAAAAGTATTCCATGCATTTTTTTTTGTACTTTTTGTTGTAGTACTTTATCTCATTTTATAAATTAATTATTTTAGGTACAACAATCATAAAAAATATTATTTGAACGCCATTTGATATTAAATTATTTGCCAATTTTTTTTTTTTTTTTTTTTATTACTATTGAATTATCCCTTAATAATATTGGGTTTTTGTTCTCATTCATATTTATTAACATGCAAGTTCCCAAGCTTATAGTATTTAAATCCCAATTTTCTTTAATTTTCATTAAACATATTTAAATGTTTTAAAAAAACGTGAAATATACTTTTGAAAAACTCGTTTATTTTTAATAATTTTTTATTATCATCAAAATATATTTTATATTCACATTTAATTTTTTCACTTTATGCCAAAATTCTCACAGAAATGTAATAAAAAAAAAAAAAAAAAAAAAAAAAAAAACAGCAAAGTGGACAATATGTAAAATATTCATCTTTTAATATTATATTTAAAAATATTTAAACAAAGTTTTCAAATGATTGTCAAATTAAATAATATTAAAGAATATTATTTTTAACTGAAATGATGAAAAAAAAAAAAAAATCATTTTTCTATTATTAGGGCATTATATACATGATAATTTTTTCTTTTACTTAATTTAAAATTTATTCTTTTTCATTTTTCATTTTTCATTTTTCATTTTTTTTTTTTTAAATGTTTGAAAAGAACGAGCCTAAACTGTTTGGCTTCGAACTGGTCATTTTTTTGACCTAGTTGGCGAGAATTCTATTCGGTTTTTAAAATTTGAAAAAAAAAAAAAAAAAAAAAAATTCATAGTTTTTCTTCAATTTAAAAAAAAAAAAAAAAAAAATTGACATGGGGGCTGCTGCATAATATACCTTCGAATATTTTTATTTTTTATAAAGTTTCTTTGATTTTACAAATTTTTAAATTTAATTGTGAATAGAAAAAAAATTTTTGCGACTATCAAACATGGACAAAAAATATTTATTTTCTAAAACAAAGAAACGTTATAAAAAATATTATTATTGATGCACAATTAATATAATTATTTTTTTGTCTGTTATTAATTATGTCTTTTTAATATAACCAATAAAAAAAACTTGATTATTTAATTTGAATATATTTATACTTAAGTTATTTATGTTATAGTTAAATTTAAAAATAATTTTTTTTTTTTTTTTTTTTTGGTCTTTCCAAATTCGGAATTTTAAAATTAAACTTTTTGTGTAAACAAAAGAAATCTCAAATCTTTTGTTATTAAGTAGTAGTTTTCGGTATAAAGTAGTATAAAAAGTTATTGTGATTATTTTCTTAATTTCTGAATGGTTACTTGTAGTTATTTATTAAAAAATTAATAATAATAATAATATAGATACTTTAATCTAATTGAAACAAAAACCATTTTGGAGATTTTTTTATTGGTTATATTTACCGTTAATCATCAGATTTTTTTTTTTTTTTGAAATTTTCCTCACTCACACGTTTTTGTAATTTTTTGTATTTATAGGGAGTACATTCCCTCTCCTTTATACTAGGAATGGACCCACAGCAGCAGTTCTGCCTAAAGTGGAATAGTTTCGGCAGTAACTTGGCCACGGCTTTTGGAAATTTGTTCAAATCAGAAAGCTTGGCGGATGTCACATTATTTTGTGAAGGTAAGAACATTATTTATTTATTTATTTATTTATTTATTTTTTTTTGTTCAATTTTTTCTAAAGGTATTAATATTTACGTGGTATAATATGCACGTGTATACGGTATAAAATTTAAAAAAAAAATTATTAATAATAATAATAGGATCTGAAGAAGTGTGTGTGTGTGTCTGTATTATATTTCTTATAAATACAGCACTATAATTATAAAGCTGGGGGGAGGGGAGGGGGGAGGGAGGGAGGTTTTACATTTAACAGAAACTTTAAATTCAATTAAAATAAGTGTTTCTATTCGAAAATTGTTCGCTCGATTTCATTTTCTAAAAGATTATAAATAGATGAATTAATTACAAAACATGATACTTTTCGTAGATATTTATTATTAATTTTTACTTTTACAAAAAGGTAAAAAAAAAAAGAAAAAATTTTTTTAAGGGTATTATTTATTAGTCGATATTTTGCATTTGTCCTAGACATATTTTCCGCACAATACACGTTCGCTCTTATCAGCGTATTAAATTATCGTACATTTATTTTTTTATTTTTTTTTTTTTTTAACGCCACGTGGAAAGCATCGTTCGCGTTTTGGTTTTTTATTTAAAAGAAAAATTTCATTCGTTTTGATGAAAAAAAAAAATAATAATAATAATAATAAAATAATGATGAAATTACGCGGAGAGGGGGAGGGAAGGGGGGGGAAAGAAAGTTGGATTTATTTATTTTAGTATAAGCGAGAGAAAGGAAATTTTAAAATGATCAAGTCGAAGAGTTAGTATAGTTTTGTTTGATGAAAAGTTTTAAAATTTGTAAGCTTATAGTTTGCCACGTGGTCTCACAATTGGGATCAAGAGCTCGGCCCCTTGCATCATTGGCTGGCTGGCTGGTTGGCTGGCTGTGTGTGCTCGAAATCGTTTTATAAATTTATTTATTTATTTTTTAGTCAGTTTTTCGCTAAACATTTTTTTTTTTTTTTTATGTAATAATTTATAGCTTTCATTGTCTGCATAAGTTTAAAACGAGAGCTTTAAGCTTTTATAATTAAACATAAATTCGAAAAATTTTTATTTTTTGAACTCTTTTTTTTTTTTTTTTTTTTTTTTAAAATTTTTGATTTTAGTATTTAATTTTATTATATAGGGACATTTTATAACAATTTGTTGTTATATCACGTGACAAAATTCACGGTTTTTAATGAGGTTTTAGTTGCATTTAACAAAAAAAATTTTCCCGGCAGAATTTCGGCAAGGCCAAGGAAAAATTACATGGAAAATTTTCAATAAAAGTTTTTATTATTATTATTGTATGACGAAATGTACCCACCAGTAAAAAAATTTTCGGTTTTGAGAAGTTTTCAAAACAACGTTTTGTTCTAAAGTTTTAAACGCAAGAAAAAAAAATTAATTAATTAATTAATTAATTAATTAATTAATTAATTAGAAGTTGAAGAAAGTGTAATAAGTAATTTTTACCAAACAAACATTTTAATACTTGAATTCGAAATCATTTGTTTAAATGGTTACCTGAAACGAAAATTAAAGAGCTCAAATTATGCCTTTAAAAAACTTTTTTGGTTTGTGTGTGCGTGTGCGTGTGTGTGTGTAATAAATTTGAAATCATAAAATTTTAAGTTTTTGGTTCTTTTGTTCGCTCAAAAAATTGTTTTAAAAAATTATTTTACGCTCTTTTTTGATATATGCTAAATTTATTGAAATTCAGTATGAGAATCAGTTTATTTCAATATAAAAAATGTAAAGTATTATATAGATATTTTACGTGATGATTGCATTAAAAAAAAAAAAAAAAAAAAAAAAAAACATGGTTTACTTAGTAAATATCTTAAACAGAAGCTGTTTTATTATTATTATTATTATTATAAATAATTTCGCAACGTTTTTGATTAGAGTTTATCGTTTTTATAACTTTTCTATAACAATATATGATTTTTTTTTTTTTTTTTTTTTTTACCATTTTTCTGCAGTAAAATATTTATTTTTTCTTTTTTTTTTTTTTTTATCAATAGAAAAAAAAAAAAAAAAAATTTTTTTTTTTAAAAGTATTCTTAGAACTAATGGTTGACGGTCAAAAATTTACCTTGAGAAATTCATGCACCAGAGGAAAATGAAATCAGGTAGTTTTTTACAAAAAAAAAGTGCGTTTCTTTTTTAAGTTAGATGAGAACTTGAAATGCGTCGTAGTATATTGCATTTTATACAATTTAGTTGAATCAACTGCCGAAAATGTTGTGGTCCTTGAATTAATATGTTGTTGTTATTGTTGAGCCTGTTTACCTCTGGTCGACCTAAGAGTCTGTGTCTACCTGGTTACCCGCTTACTAACCTACACAAACGTGCTTCAACTTATCATTCGTTTAATCCGCGTGTGTGTGCGTGCGTGTGCGTGCGAGTGCGTGTGTGTGTAGTAACCTTAACCTTTTAAAAAAAAAAAAATTGTTTTTGTTTAAAAAAAAAAAAAAATTTTCTTTTAATTTTTGTTTCAAACTTTTTTTTTTTTTTTTCTGTCATACGTAGTAGTAATGATAACCGGTTTTTTTTTTTTTTTAATATTATTATTGTTTAAAAAACGTTCATCTTTCGTCATAATTTCATTTATATTCAGTAATATTTTGCCAAAGTGCAACCATCTTTTACTTCATGTCTTTGAACTTTTTATTTAAAAAAAAAAAAAAAAACTAAAATGAATACTCACAACGGGAACAAGGCATAAATAATTAATTTGGTAATTAATAAACTTTAAATCTTGTCTTATTAATCACGAATGAGGGAAAAAAAAAAAAAATTTTTTTAAAGAAATTTTTGCACGTGTAAGTTCTCTTTAAATTATTATTAATACTCATTCACGTGGCATTCTAGTTTTTTTAAATCACATTGCGAATATGTATTTATATATGTTTTACCTAGTAAAATTGCGCAATGGAAATGCATTTGACCGATTTTAAATTAACATTAAGTCGAGTGAGGAGTCGTACTTATTTAATACCCGATTTATTTTCGGTTCAAATAAACATAATAATAATAATAATAATAATAATAAAACTTTAACGCATGTGTTTTGTATGTAAAAAAAAAAGATTTGATATTAACAATTAGTTATTTTAACTTTGAGCCGTATACGTAGCGATATTTAAAAATATTCGAAACAAATTTTTTTTTATTACTAAATTAAATCGTAAAAAAAAAAAAAAATTGAAACGTAATCCATTACGTTATTATTAAACTCATTAATAAAAACGATTAAAAATTATTAAAAATTTTAATAAGTAAAATATTAAAAAATCTTTTTTGTACGTACTAATACGGAAAATGATCATCTACTCACGTTGTTCGTTTTAATTTTTCTTTTTTTTCCCCCCCCCCTCCCCCCTCCCGCCCCGAAATGCGTTTAATATCGAATTTAATTGATTGTATAATAATTTGTACGGTAACGAATTTTTATCAATTAATTATTATAAATCCAGGTTTTGTACGCGGCTATGATTTTTTTTTTTTTTTTTTTCGTTTTCTTTAATTAATTGCCTCTCCGTTCTTAATTTCAACAATTGTTTTCCCGATACGAAAAACTTTAAAAATTTTAAAAATCCTTCTACATTTCACGATTATTATTATTATTATTATTATTATTAATAAATTGTCAGACGGAAAATTATTCGGAAAATATAATTGCACGAATTATTATTACGACAGAGTAAGATTCGATCGACTCGCGTTAGTCTTTACCCAATCAATACAATTTATTATTATTATTTTCCACCATTAAACACGACAAGGCTACTTGTCGGGGGTTTTAAGTATTTATCCGAGGTTTCTACCCGATTCCTTAGGGACAAATACTCGAATTTCGGTGGTGCCACTTATTATAAGATAGCACCACATCAATTCTTGAAGGTCTTCCTGAGTCCGTCTTTTTCGATGGGAACGATTTGTCTCCTGAACTGGGCTCCGGTGACTAACATCTTTGGAGTGGCCAGGGTCAGAAGCAGTGAAATTCACGTTCTCGTCGAGCTGCCTCAGGTCGACAGTAGAACAAGATTTTGTTTTTGGTTCTTACTTTGTCTTGTTCTCATTTTTTTTTTTTTTTTTTGCTCTTTTAAGCCAACAGCACGTGGCGTTCTCAAACGGTCACCCATCCAAGTTTGCACCACGCCCGATGCTGCTTAACTTCGGTGATCGTACGGGAACCGGTGTGACCAGCACGCTATGGCCGTTGGCTTATTATTATTATTATTATTATTATTATTATTATTTCACCGAGTGTGTGTGCGTACTTTACGACACTTGTTGTTGTTGTTGTTGTTTTTACCTATTTTAAAATATTATTTTTATTTTTTTCCCTTTTGAATTTTTTATTTTTGTTGTTGTTTCTATTCTTATTCGTGATGTTTTCGGCATAATTATTATTATTATTATTATTATTAATATTGCTAATAACTGTTTTTTTTTTTTTTTTTTTTCAAATTTGTTCTCAATAAAAGGCCCCCGAATACAGAAAAAAAAATGAAGTTATTAGTTAATTTCGGCCATTATTTTTCCTCATATATTTAAAAGTCGTTAAACATTATAATATTGCATTTGACCTAAATTTATAAAATTTTTTCCAATTGAGATCTTTTCTTCTTCTTTTTTTTTTTTTTTTTTTTTTTTTCCGTAAAAATGTCACTCGGGAAAAAATTATCAATTATTTTAGTACATTGTAACGGTTTGTTTTTCATTTAAATAATTGGCAGACATTTTCCTTAAAAAAAAAAAAAACTTTTTTCGTTGACGGTATAAATGAGGGAGTTTTACAATTACCCCGTTTTAAATTAATATAATTTATTTATTAAATTTATAAATTTATGTATTTAAATAGTTTGTTAATATTTTTTTTCTATTCGGACAATATAATTTAAAAAAAAAGTAATCTGCAATTTTTTTTTAAAAAAAAATTAATTATGTTTTGTCATGACAATGCAAGGCCGAATCTTTGGTCAGTCGGCAAAAATTATTGGACCTTAATTGGTATGTTATGCCATTTTTTTCATTACTTATGACCTTGCATAATCCTGTTACTTATTTTCTCTCTATTCGCTGAATTTTACTTATACCTTAATTTATACCTTAATTACGCGAATAAAAAAATTTATCATTAAATTAAATACGAGAACGAATGAGTCTAAAGTAATTTTTTAGTAATAATAATAATAATAATAATAAAACTTTTGACGATGATGATCTCTATTGATTAAAATATTTTTTTTTAAATAATCAATTATTAATTAGTGCTTGAGTCGTCACGTTTTTATTTTTTTCTTCTTCAAAAAAAAAAAAATTTTTGATTTATTTTAATTCTGAATATTTTTGCAAAAAATCAAATCAAATCAAATCAAATAATAGCTGTAGGTGTTACGCAAAAATAAAGATGGAGATGAAAGAGGAAAAAAAAAAAATGCATGGGCGGATGATAGGTTGCGTGAGGGTGCGTGCGTGTTGTACATTCGTCGTGTCCTCTTCTATCCTGGTTTTTCTCTCTCTCTCTCCTGTCTGGCTGGGGGCTTCAGGGGCAAAGACGTAAGCTCTAGCGAGGGAAAAAAAAAAAAAAAAAAAGAGGGAGGAAGGAAGGGAAGATGTACAAAGTGATTAAAATGTCAGCGAGCTTTTTCCTCTTTCGAGATCCGTCCGTCCGTCCGGGCCTTTTTCAATTTTCAAAATCTACATTGATTCATTCAAAAGAATTTTTTTTCCTTTTTCAATTTTCCCTCTCAACTTGGAGAAAAAAAAAATTAAAAATTGTTACCATAGTCAAAATTAAATAATTTAATAAAAGGGGGGGGGAAGAAAAAAAAAATTTTATAAAATAATCAATTGGATTATTTATTTAGTAAAAAAGGCGTCATAATTTTTTTTTGAAATTATTAAATGATATTGAAAAAAAAAAAAAAAAAAAAATACTCGTCGATTTCGATTTTTGTATTTTTGGCCTTTAAACAGGTGTCGGTGGTTCATTAGCCTCCCTGTTTGTTAAATCATGCGGACAATGATTGTCTCTTAATAGAACAAGTTTTTATTTAATTTAAAGATTGAGTTGTTGTTGTTGTTTTCGGTAGCAAAAAAAAAAAAGGAATAAGAGGAAAAAAAAGGAAAAAAATATTTTTTTTTGTTAGAAAGTTGTTAATTGACCGTTTCAAAAAATATTAAAGCGTTCGATCTCTGAAATGTGGGATTACAATCTCCGGGAGGAGTTACTATAGTAACGTTACCCGGCGGATAAAAGAGTGGCCGAGTTTAGGTGGTTTTGAACGCGTGACCACGTGATGAACGACGATGACGACGACGAGGACGAGGACGACGATTCACCATTTTTCCATATTTATGATTTTTAAAAAAAATAATAATTATTGATATTATTATTTTTTTGCCATTTGTCCTTAAACACAATTCAATTATTTAAATTATTTTTATTACTTATAAAGTATGAATATGAGCAATTATTAAATGTTAATAAACCCTTACACTTTTTTTTTTTTTTTTTTTTATTTATATTTTTAGGAGTGACGTTCAAAGCTCATAAATTAATATTAGCGGCATGCAGCAAGCACTTCCAAGACCTTTTCGAAGGTGCCCCATTTAGTCCTTCTGTACTCGTCATATTAGACGGAACTTCCTCTTCAAATATGTCTGCTCTATTAGAATTCATGTACAAAGGAGAAGTTCACGTATCTCAGGAACATCTTTCAAGTTTTCTGAAAGCAGCGGAGTGTCTTCAGGTTTGTTTCTTTTATTACATTATATTGTAGCAAATTTTGATGTGGAAATAAATCCATTTTCTAATGTTTCTTATTTTTCAGGTTAAAGGACTGTCAATAGAACATGAAAAACTGGCCATGGTTCATACGCAGCATTCGAGCCCCACGAGTCACGAAAGTCCTTTGGACTCTCCCAACAACCGCACCAAACCAAAACTTTCCTTTCCCAGTAATGGGGCGTGCAAAGAAGTTACAGAAAACGGACTGAGTCAAGAACAACCTCCACCCTCTCATTCTTCCTCTTATTCTCCTGTCCACTCCACGTACATGCATCAGCATCATTACAGGCCTCCTTACGAACAGAGAGTACCTGCCTCGACACCTGGACCCGGTTATGACTGTCATAGAAAGAGACGCCATCGCAGCCCAAGCGATCATCAAGATTCGGTCGTTCGAGCGTCCGTCCTAAGAGAAGCTTCTAGCAAAGGGGGGAGATCGGGAGATTCAGAAAAATTATCTCCAATGTCACTGTCATATCGGCCTTCTCCAGAGCCCAAACACGCTTCGGAAGACCTTAAAAATTACCCGATGAGTTCACCACAAAATTTGATACGGGGATATGACGTTAAATCGGAACCTCGAGGGGAGTTTGGGGGATCTATTACTGTTGGTAGTGGGGCAGCCGCCGTCACTTTTGATAGAACTGCTGGTGTGGACATTGATAACAACCATAAAATTGTATCGGAAAATAGGCACTCTGATCCGAGTTGCCCGGAAGGTAATATTTTTGGTTTTTTTTTCGTCCCAATTAAAATTAATATGTATATATATTTAATTAATAATTTTTTTTTCAATTTAGATTTGCGTGTTAAAATGGAACCATCAAATTCGTGTGAAGAAGTTCATTCGAATGCAATGTCTTACAAGGAAATGAGTGTTGACAAAGCACCTGATATTGTACAGGTTGGAAGTATGTGGGATGCTAGTTCTGCAGTTAAACCATTGTCATCACACAAAGGTTCTGCAACTCCAGATGGTAAGTTTTTCATTTAACTTAATTTTTTTATTAATACATTAATTTATCTGCGTTACTAATATCTTACATTACTAATTTCCACAATCATTTATTTATTTATTTTTTGCAAAAAAAGGATTTAAAAAAAAAAAAAAAATTTATTTACTAATAAATTAAATTTTAAAAAACTAGGAAAAAGTAAATTTTCAACATGCTTTACTTAGTTAATAATAATAATAATAATAATAATAGCAACAACTAAAAACAAATTTTAATTAGATAAATATGTAGTTTTAATTAAAATGTAACTTGATAAATAACGTTTATTCCAGGTTTTAAGGTTATTGTTTTGTTTTTTTTTTTATTAAATTTCGAATTGGAGGACGATTAAGGTTTTTTAAAATTTTTTTATGGTTTTGTTTTAAATGGTCGTTTAGGGTGAATACCTAACCTTTTACCCTTAAGGTTTTCGGTTAATTGATTTCTTCTCGAATTCGAAGGTCGTGATTGTGATTCTTCTTGGCTTCTTGGCGTTACGTTTCGGGGTTAATCAATAAATAATATTAATAAAGCCTTTAATATTTTAAAAATCGTTTTTGATGGATTAGTATCCGAACAGCAAAGTTTAAGGCGTTTCATTCATTCATTTCCCCCCCCCCCCCGATCGTTAAATTAAATGTTTTTATATATATATATTTACAAAAGGTAAAAAGCTCAAATGCCCGTTTTGCGAACGACTCTATGGCTACGAAACAAATTTAAGAGCCCACATACGCCAGCGACATCAAGGTATTCGTGTGCCGTGTCCATTTTGCTCACGCACTTTTACTCGTAACAACACGGTGAGGAGACACATAGCTCGCGAGCACAAGACGGAACTCAGCTTGAAAGCGTTTCAACAAAATCAAGTTCACAATCACGCTCAGTAAAAAAAAAAGGAAAAAGAAAAAGAAAAGAAAAAGGAGAACAAATAAGACGAAGAATAAAAAAAAAAAAAAAAAAAAAAAAAAAAAAAAGTCTTCGTCGTCGTCGTCGCCCCGCTCCCTTTGAATATGTTTTTTATTCCTGTACCTACTACCTCAAATTTTCCCACAGTAGCGCAACACTATATACCTCAGTTAATCTTAGTTCATAAAAGTTTAGTTTTAGGCAGATAATAGAGATATTTTGCAGATTATTCAATTGTTACAGCCATTGGTTATTTGTTTTTACATTTTTATACAGCAGAAGACAAGTTTTTTATTTAAATAAGAAAGATAATAATAATAGTAAATAAATAAATAATAAATAAATAAATAAGGCAATGTACTTTTGCACTTTCAAATACAGTAAGTTACATGCCGTGCCACTAGGGTGCGGCGCCAGATGGTGCCTGATCAACGATTTCTTATTGGAAATTGTTTTTTTTTTTTTTTTTTTTTCTCTCTCATTAATTCTCACATTGAATTTGGTTTTTAAAAAAAAAAATTTACAAACATTTGGCCGAAATGAAATTCATTATTATTATTATTTTTTTCTCTCCGTGGTTTTCGATAAGCAACAAAAACAAAATGAATATTGGTAGTTCGAAATTTCTGTTCTGTTTTTTTTTTATTATTATTATTAACAATTACTAAATAATTTATTTTTAATTGATATTTATGGAGTTCCTATGTGCTTTAACCGAAAAGAATTTTTATTATTATTCTTTTCCAAAGGCTCAACTCCTTTTAGGTTTATTAAACTAGTCATTTCTTCTTTGGAAGTGCATAAGCCCTCAAAACTCAGGTAAATAAAACTCAAAACAATAGTAATTTTTTTTTAAAAAAAAAAAAAAAAGAAAAGAATATTTTAAATAATTTTTTAAATATACACTGGTGTGTGTACCTGATAATTCATCCTGAGAATTATCAGGTATTTCACTTGCCTCGCCTATTTTTTCTCATTGTAAAATAGTTTTTTATTTTTTTAAGAATAATATTTTTTATCAGTATATATATATATATGCCGAAGAGTAGTAGGGATTTGAGACTTGAAGTCTACCGGTCTCCCCGCGTCCCTCCTCCTCTCAGTTGTTAAATAAAATCAGGAAATACGCAGAACCTAGTCAATGTTTTTGTTTTTTTTTACTCTCTCCATACAATAATAATAATAATAGTTAAGGGTTTCATCATTATTATTATTTTTTGTTAAATCAATTGTTGATTGACACCCCCCGTCAAGTTTTTTTATTTTTTTATTTTTTTTTGTCGCAGTATTTTTGCAGTCGTCCGTACTCGTCTACCCTCCCTTTCAACTACCTCCAAATAATCAATCATATTAATTAATCCTTTTATTATTATTATTATTTTTTTTTTAATCCTCTGCCTTGCGTTATTCTGCCTAAGATTATATGAGTGATATTTGTAACGTTAAGAGGAAAAATAATTACATATATATATAAATGTTTGAAAAAAAGGAGAAATTATTGTTATTAATATGTAAATATTTCTCCTTTTTTTATAAATATATATGTATTAAATGAGAATGAGAATGAATGAATGAATGAATGAATGAATGATTTTCCTCTTAACGATTGTGAATGGATTCAGATATTTTTAGCCTACGGGTTTTGAATATAAATTGTACCGTTCTACCTCTTGAAAACAAAAAAAAAAAACAAAAATAAAATAAAATAAAATAATAATAATATTTTTATTTTTTTATATATAATGTGATTGTTGTTTTTTATTAATTATTTTTACGGGTATATTTTATTTACAAAACAAAATAATAATTTTTTTATTACTCAATGTTTTAAATAATAATGATAATAATGATAAAAATAAAAAAGAAAAAAAAACTACATGAACCAATAGTAATAATAATAATAATAATAACGTACGATTTGTTTTTTTTTTTTTTTTTTTTTTTTCAAAATGGCGGAATAACAAAAAGAAAGAAAGAAAATAGAAAGTTGCAAGGGGATTTGATTGAAAAATATATTATTTTAATTTTTATCAATTTTTTTTGTTTTTGTTTTAAAGGAACTCAGGATAAAATGATGTTAAATAATTATATACAACAAAAAAAGAAAACATTCTACCTCTAATTTTTTTTTTATAATATTTATATATATATATATATATATATTATATAAAAGAAAAATCAATACAATCAGATGCATTTCTCTTTTTTTTTTTTTTTTTTTTTTTTTTTTGTAAAAAGTTACAAAAGATTTTTAAAAACAGGAAAGAAAAAAAAAAAAAGGAAAAAAACAGAAAACAAACAAAAAAAGGTACACAATTACTAATCAAGTTATTTTACATAAACATATAAACAAAACAAAACAAAACAAAAATCAAATCAACACAAAATCCTTTTTTTTTTTTAATCTTCTCAGGTATATTTTAATTAATAATTTTAAATAAGAAAGGTTACATAGATACATAATTGATAAAACCTTCCGGCTTTTTTATTTTAATCGAAAGGAAAGGGGTGTTATATTTAAGTATCAAACGAATAATTATTAAAACGTCTCTTGGTTTTTAATCAAATACAAACACATACAAACACAAACAAACACACACACACACACGAACACACGTGAAAGTGAAGGGAAAAGGCTTGACGAAAACGATTGATTGATTGATTGATTGATTGATTGGTTGTTTTCTAATACCTTTTTTAAATTTTTTTTAAATTTTTTTTTTGTTTTGTTTTGTTGAAAATTTTTTTTTTTTTCATTTATTAAAAATTTTTTTTTTTTTTTTTGGAATGAATGAATGAATGAATAATGATGATAATGATTTTCGATGTGATTGATTGATTGATTGATTGATGACATGATGAATTTTATTTTGTTATTCATAAAATTTTTGTTTTTATTTTAATTTTTTCTTTTTTTTTTTTTTCTCTTAATTTAAAAAAGAAAAAAAAAAGAAAAATTTATTATTATTATTATTATTATTGTTGTTTTCTTTCTTTTTAAAGTTATTGTATGAATAATACTAAGTGAATTTTAGGTCTTAAAAGTAAAAAAAAAAAAAAAAAGGAAAAAAAAAGTCGAAAAAAAGATGAAAAAAAAGATGTAAAAAAAAGAGTATTGTATTTTTTATCATTTTAATTATTATTATTATTATTTTATTTTTTATTTTTTGGTATTGTTATTATTTTTGGTTTGAAATTGTGATGATGATGATGATGATAATGATGATTTCATTGTGAAGAAAAAAATTTTTTTTTTTTTTTAAAGAGAACTCAAATTAATTCGTAAATAATAATAATACCCGGAAATAATATGGAAAAAATTTCCTATTATTATTATTATTATTATTATTATTATTTCAGGGTACTTTTACAAAAAGAAAAATTTTTTTTTTTTTTCAAAAATGAAATTGCCCCATAAGTTACATATTCGAAAATGATTGATTGATTGATTAATTTTTTTTGTTTTTCTAAAACTGTGTAAGCCTCCTAAAAATTTTACAAAAAGCAGCTTTATCATAGATTAAATTGAAAGAAAGAAAAATTATTTAATCCCAGTTTGATTTGTGAATTGTGAATACTCATGATTCTTTATGTAAATAATAATAATAATAATTAGAAGAAGAAGAAGAAGAAAAGGGAAAAGAAGGAAAAGGAAAGAAAAAGGAAAAACCTAATTATTTCTCAAATATACTTACAGTATTATTTGTGTGATAGGGTAGTTTAGATAATTACCAAAGGAGTTTTTTTTTTTTTTTTTTTTTTTTTTAATTTGTAAGTAAGGGGGATTATAATAGTAATAATAATGATAATAAAAAGGGAAAAAATGAAAAAAATTTTTAGGAGTCGAATCGGTTTTAACAAAATTTGTAAATTTTTTTGTTAATTTGCGTTCTCTTTAATTTTAATTTTTTCTCAGTTTGATTCCGTATCAAAATTTATGGCAATTATTAGAATCATTTTTAATTATTTTTAGTAAATTTTTCGCAAAAAAAAAAAAAAAATAAAAACAAAAATCTTTTAGTCAAATAATTAATTTAAATTAAATTTAGATTTTAAATAAATATTTAAAAAAATAACGGAATAGTGTAAAATTGAAATGTTATTATTATTATTATTATTATTGAAATTAACAATTAAATGATTCGAAATTGCTTTAAAAATTTATTAAGGGAAAAAATAACCAAAAAAAATTGTGATTTCGGAATGTAGATAAGAGAAAAATGAAAATGAAAAGAAAATTATTTAAAACAATATATATATAAAATCGGATGAGCGAAAAAAAGAAAAAATAAAAAAGAAAATTTGTATTTTTTTTTTTTTTTTTTTTTTTTTTTTATAATTTGTTCTATTAGTTACCATTACTACTAAATTATTTTTAAAAAAAAATTTTAAATTTATAAAAAATAAAAAAGAAAATTTGGTCTGTGATTTTTACCGGTTTTTAATCTGGTTTGGTTGTGTGTCTTTATTTAAAAGAAAATAAGAAAATAAGAAAATGAAAAAGAAAATGGTGATATATGATGTAAAGAAAAAATGTTATCGTGTGTGTATATATTTATATTTATAATTTTTTTTAAAAAAAAAAAAAATTTTGTGTTGATGGCTGTTGCTTTTTTTAACTAATCATCCGATTTTACTTTTGTTTTAAATAATTTTTTTTTTAGTTAATTTAGTGGGGGAAATTGTAAAAATTAATTAATTTAAAGAGGTGCTCGTTATTAATTAATTATTTAAAAAAAAAAAAAAATTTTGGTGTATATTCAAAATTAAACAAACAAACAAAAAAATACTCTTTGGAGTAACGAACAATTTTTATTGTTTCGCTGTGATTTTTGTTTTATTTTATATTCGAGGATTGGAAAAAATTTTTTTGTATTTGTTTAAATACACGTGTGTGTCGAAACATACACGTGTACCAATACAATTCATTCCTGCCCACAAAATAAAATGAAAAACAAACGGTTGCACTTACATTATTATT